CCCCAAAACCCCAAAACCCCAAAACCCCAAAACCCCTTAAAATCAAAAAATTCATATAAAATAAATTTTCAAATCCCAAACATGGACTCACTCTCCCCTGCCTTAAACCCCTCTGACAACCTCTCCGGTTCCAATCAAGCCCATATGCCCTCAAAATCCCCTTCCAGCCTATCCAACATGCCCAAAACTTCTACTTTACACAAAGAATTGGATTCAAAGAGGCCTAAAGCTGCTTTAAAGTCCAGAGACAGAATAATTGAACCAAAACTAAACAAGAAGATAAGGTAAAGTTACTGGCTTCGGGCTTAATGAGATCTATAAGAATCTCTTAGAACTTTCTTCATATAAAATATCAAACCTGATTTTCTGGATTTCTTTACGCTTTAAATGCCCTCTTCACTACTATAATCATTCTCAAACATTTTGTACGCACAATTACTCTAAATTTACTAGGCCCAGCTTCTGGTTTATAATCCTTTTGCCTTTGCTTTGAGTACTTGAGCTGAGGAAAGGCCTGCTTCTATTATGCAGAGCTCAGATATGTCCTACATGCTTGTAGTAGAGAGATAGTGCAATGGCCGTCTTCCTGTATTTCTATTATCTTTGTCTAATTTTGGAACTTGGGGTTAAAGATATAGAGATTTGGAAACTCAGAGAAAAATAAGTAAGCTGGTGGGTTTTATGTGTAGGTGAGAAAGAAAGGGAGATTCAGAAGGAGGCTGAAGAGAGTGGAGAGAGTGAAGGGAAGTTGGAAAAAGGTATGGGATGAAGAGAGGTATTAACACTCTCTTAACCAAATTTTTATATCCTAGCTTGCTGTATAATACACCAGTCATTTCATAAAAGAATACAGTCTAAAATCAGCTCATCTTAACAAAACTCCAAATTATAAAAAATAGATCCTTTACCAAACACCTAATCTCCTATTAACGCACCCTAGTTCCAACTGCTACATTAAAATTCATAAAATGATTCACACATTCCCTCATAACAAATTCATACTTCATTTAGACACAACTCCACTCGCCTTCGAACTTGAACTTGCCAACAGGAACAACATCGAGCTTCAAAAGCTGAACGATGCTCAAAACCTTGAGAAAATCTTCACTCAAAACCTGTACAGTCACCTTCAGGATGGCAAAGAACTCACCGAACAGAAATTAGGAAGAATCCTTGAGAGTAAGCCTGCTTGGTTATTTCTAGAAAACATTAAGCTGGATAAAAGGATTCTGGCCCAGACCAAAGCTCTGATGGATCAGGACTTTGAGAGTTACCTTGACATGGATACTTATAAGGGAAATAGAGGTACCTGAAGTTGATTGATGGTTTAGGGATGAATCCCTTGGATAGTGAAGAACATATAGATGAATTCTTGGATCTTGATAAGGACGTGAGTTTGGAGAGTGACTTTTTAGCCATTTGCCACTGAGAATGTGATAAAGAGAAGAAGAGCTAAGAGTAATGATTCGAGAAAGCAGAGATTGTCTGAGGAAAGTAGTATCTCAACGGATAGAAGTATGGAAGAGTCGATGTTAAGAGAGTATTGGGATGATTTTGATGAAAAGGATAATTTGAAAAAATCAAAAGAAGGAACAAATTTTATTGACTTAGATAGTCCCTTTGTTGCAACATCTCAAAAAGAAAAACAAGAGTTCCAAAAATTAAAAGGTAAACAAATGGACATAGATCCGAAAATCTTATTTTTTGCCTAGTTGAAATTTCCATTTTGATACTTATTTTCATACCCAAGTTTCTATCTCACTAAAAATTTCCCTAAACTTTCATCATCATCCTATTTCCGTAATAACTTCTCCTTACCTATCTTCCCTCTAGGAGTTGGAGCAGACCGAAAAGTGCACGAAAAGCCTCAAGACGTTCTCCTGACTCATTACGATACTTTATCTCAAAAATATAAGATGCCTAGCATAAATCTTTTAAAATTGCAAAAGGAAGAGTACAGGGCATATATTGCAAAGCTACGTGATGTTGCCAAGGTCCTAGTCAGACGTGCCAAGAAGGAATGCCGTATTAAATGCAAGAAATACCTACACGAGAAATTCGATCAGTATAAGGAATCCATTGAGCTCGAATCCTCTTCGATGACTAAACAGTTCATTAAGATCAAGGAAGAACTTGAAGAGAGACAAAAGGAAGTCGACCAATTTCACCGCAAGTTTATTGATCAGGAAATTATGATTGACCATATGGCAATCTTACTCTCCAATGCTGGCATTGACTACTTTGAGTTAACAAGTCAGGAGGAGAGAAGACAGCTTCAGAGAGGTAAGTTTCATCACTATTTTTTAGAAATTGAGAAAGAAAACAGGGATAAATTACTCTCTCTTTCACCACAAAAACTAGAATGAGAATGTGAAAAGAAGTATTATGGACTAGACTATTGTATTTCTTTATCAAAGCCGTTCTCTTTGTATTCTTTTCAAGCTCCGTTGCTCAACATGCACAGCCTGATTCCAGATGCTGAAGAGAGAGCTTACCTTAGAGAAGAGAACGAAATCTACAAAAGGAAGATCGAGGTGTATGAGAAAGGATTTAGTAAATGTTAGCATAATTTTTAGAAACTTACACGTCCTTAATTGACGATAAGAAACAGTAAGAACAATTTTCAATCAAAATAGGGCTGCGATTATTGAGGAACAAAGGAAAATTGAGGTCAAAAAGGTAGTTGAATCTTAATTTATCTACAGCTCAATCAAGAAATTGAGGATCTTAAGGACAAGCATGAACAGGAAATTGCTAGACTCACTTCGGATCATAAAGCTGAGCTTGAAGCCTTATCATCTCAGTATTATGAATACAAGATTACTGCTGATGAAGAGACCAAAATAAATGAAGCTATTAGATTTGCACAGAGAAAAGAAATCAATAAGTAAGATAATTTTTCTAATTTTAGACTTAAAACTGATATCAGGAAACTGAACAAGATCATGCTTGTTCCAAGGCTACATTCTAAATATATTGAGAAAGTGTTGACTCCTGATGATCTTCCCAGACCATCAACTGTAAAAAATTATAACTAATATTTAGCCTTCCAGACCAAAAATAAAGCAGTACGAGCTCCCATTGGTAAGCCAGATGCAGACAATCTCAAGTAAACTAGCAGCTAAAAGGTCTCATCTACTGTCAAGAAATGTACAGACCCAGATGAGATCTTATAACTCAGTCGTTTCTATGAAAAAGCCACTCAGTAGCCATACCAGGCTGGCCATGCTGACATCAAGAGAGAGTAAGCTCATCATTTATGCATTGTAGCAATTCAATCAACTAAGGAGTCCAACACTGCAAGAACCGTTTTAAGACTTGGGAATAAGTTCAGATAAGAATTGTAGATTTCAAAGTCGGTTTCAATAATTTTAATACAGATTGGGGTTTTGGGGTTTTGGGGTTTTGGGGTTTTGGGGTTTTGGGGTTTTGGGG